AACGAAATTTTCGGATGCACCTTTCTCTTAAACTAAAACTCTTACCGCGTTTCTAAAAGCATGGGATTGTTTAAGTTTTCGAACAATCTTTTAAGTTTTCTGCAATTCGTCAGCTACTTTTCATGAACGTGCAAGATCTGAAACTCTTATATGCAACACATATTGTGATGTGTTGACTACAGAAGCCGATAACAAAACTGTGTCTTTAATTTTCTTTCGTTTTTCGTATTCAAATGTAGCTGGCGATTTGCGTTGTTGTCGATACTTTAATTGTAGAGAAGGATTTTTCAATCTATAAACACAGTTACGAGAAAGGTGCTTTTAAAATTTAATGATAAAACAGGACACTCCAGCATCCCCTTAAGTGTTAAGGATGTCCATGATGGACCGAATTAACATTTGCGATACGCTACTGAAACGGAATAAAATTGAGCCATTTCTGAAGAGAATGATAACTGGTAATGAAAAATGGATCACATACGACAATCGAACTCCCAAAAGATCGTGGATAAAGGAAAGAGAGAAGGCACAAACAATCGCAAAACCTGGATTGACGAAAAAGGTGATATTGTGTGTGTGGTGGGATTGGAAGGGAATCGTTCACTATGAGCTGTTATCGCTCAATCAAACAATTAATTCTGAACTTTACTGTGAACAAGAGATTACAACAAGCAATTGAGAGAAAGTTGCCAGAATTAATTAATAGGAGAGGTGTCGTCTTCCATCACGACAACGCTCGACCACACACATCTTTGATAACTCGATAAAAATTGCGAGAGCTTGGCTGGAAAGTCTTAATGCATCTATCGTATAATCCTGACATAGCACCCTCAAACTATCATTTGTTTAGGTCTTTGCAGAACTCTCTTAATGGTATAAAGCTGACTTCAAAAGAGACCTATAAAAATCACTTGAAGCAGTTTTTCGATTAGAAATCACAAAAGTTCTATCGCGATGGGATTACTCTATCCCAAAAATGGCAAAATATTATTGAAAATAATGGAGTATCTTTGGTTTAAATAAATTGATTTTAATACTCTAAGAAAAATACTTGAATTTTACTAAAAAAAACCGCAACGAACTTTTTTCCACATCCAATATTTTATTGATTTTTTTTGTTTTACAAGGGAGGAGAAAATCTTCACCAGCCCTCACCCGAGGGAGATCCCGAAGGGATACCCATCGGGGAGGGAAGATACCCAGCGGCCCGCACCACTGGATGTACCGGATTCAACCGCCCCGTAATCCTGAAGGATACACCGGAGCGGCCGCCTACCGACTAAAAACTCCTCCCTTTTGCATACTACGACACAGACCAGAGGAGGGTACTCCGGAACCGCATATCGTCAGGGTATTCTCCAATCTTTAGAGCTACTAGGCTCTCTATCGCCATACGGGTTCTCTAAATACAGGGTCCGGCAAAATGATCTCCCACATTTTAATCTTTAATAAAAACGCCATTGTAAATGCTATTTAGATTTTATTTTTATTAACTGAAAATTTATGCTATGCCATTTGTTTTTATTGAGTTTTGAAAATTACAGAATCCAAGTAGCGACTATTTTTTTCGATACACATTCGAAGCTGATTTTTAAAAGTTTCCATCACTCGAGCAATAATTTGAGGCGATATTCCTGTAATTTCTTGGCGTATTGCTGCTTTCAATTCGTCAATGGTTCGGGGGTGATGTTGAAAAACCTTCGCTTTCAGGTAGCCCCAAAGGAAAAAGTCGCATGGGACAAGATCGGATGACCAAAACTTAGAGAACTTGAACATTCGGATGTGTGGTTTCAACAGGATGGAGCTACGGCTCATACGGCAAGAAGGACAATGGACGTTTTAAGGGAAATGTTTCCAGAACGCGTAATCTCGTTACGTGGAGACGTTGGGTGGCCTGCGCGTTCACCCGATCTTGCCCCAGGCGACTTTTTCCTTTGGGGCTACCTGAAAGCGAAGGTTTTTCAACATCACCCCCGAACTATTGACGAATTGAAAGCAGCAATACGCCAAGAAATTACAGGAATATCGCCTCAAATTATTGCTCGAGTGATGGAAACTTTTAGAAATCAGCTTCGAATGTGTATCGAAAAAAATGGTCGCCACTTGGACTCTGTAATTTTCAAAACTCAATAAAAACAAATGGCATAGCATAAATTTTCAGTTAATAAAAATAAAATCTAAATAGCATTTACAAAATCTAAATGGCGTTTTTATTAAAGATTAAAATGTGGGAGATCATTTTGCCGGACCCTGTACAATAATGCAGCGTAGCACTGTCTCTCCGCAGAATATACAAAAGTGGGTGACGGCTCACTCCAAATGTATACACAAAGACCTTAACTTAAATTTATACGCAACTCGCTCATAATACACAACTATATACATAATTATATACAAAAATATATACAGACGCCTGCACAACATGCCAGCGGCGCAGAGCCACTACAGCTCCTCATCGAAGCTATGCAGGTTCGAAGGAGAGACTAGCGCACCCCCAGGTGGACCAAGTCCACGCTCACGAGCACGCTCATCCTCCTCCTTCCGCCGCATAACCGTCTCACAAAAATTCGCAAAAGCCGAACACGCTTCGGGAGAACGCATGATGGTCCTCACCACCGCCCTGAAGGTCCTGAAGATCCTTTCCACCTCCACGAACTCCAGCAACCCACGCCTCTGCTCCGTCCAGGCTGGACAAAACAGAAGAGTGTGGGCCGCCGTTTCAACCACCGCTCTACAAAAAAGACAAATCGAATCCTGCCGTCGTATCTTGAAGGTAGGACTCAAAGATCCCGTGCCCCGTCAAAACCTGAGTAACACGGTAAGTAAGGGCACCATGCGCCCTTCCCATCCAGATCTCTAAGTCCTCCCCGAAGGCGCCCCGAATAGCCGCACCGGGACCGTTCGGAGACAATCCCATGAGACGCTCACTCCACTTCGAGACAGCGACGACGCTCCATCTCGATCAACATTAAGCTCACCCGAGGCGCAATAACCCCATTTCGAGCTATGATATCCCGCCGACGAAGGTAAGACATTCTCAATCGATTCGCAATTATATCGAAAGGGACCATCTCTGAGAGGACAGCTGCAGCCTCGTGAGAAATGGTGCGATACTCATGGATAATCCTGAGGGCAAGCTGCCGCTGTAGCCTACGCGCATCCCTCAGGATCCCTCGGTTGTCGGCCACAGTCTGCGCCCAAATCGGAGCACCATATAAGGCAACCGACATCACCACCGTCGCGTATAAACATCGCCGTCGCTCGCCGGGGCCACCAATGTTGGTGGTAAGACGCGCCAAAGCCATCGCCATGTCCCAGGCTTTGGGCAGAAGAAGGCGGAAGTGGTCCTGGAAGGTCCACCGCGAATCCAGAGTTAAACCCAGGTATTTCATGGCAGACCCAATCGAAACCGTCCCCCCGAATATTAGCGTCGACCGGCGTCTCCTCAGCCGAGAAGGTCACAGTCTTGGCAACCGAGACCTTGGAGACCCTGAGCCCAAGACGCTCTATAGACCAAGAAGGTAGCCGTCACCTCAGTCCTCACACGCGCCTCTTCAAATGAACCGGCACATGCCACCAAAAGGCTATCGTCCGCATAACAAATTATCGACAGTTGAAGCTTCAGAATGGAATCATACCCGATGTTCCACAGGGTCTATCTCAACACCGAACCCTGTGGAATTCCGCACCTATGTCTAACGACACAGCCACCACACTCCCATCCCGCAGAATCTCGTCGACGCGCTCCATTAGATTTCAAATCGCATCGATCGTGGAGCGATGTTGGCGGAAGCCAAACTGGCCGTCTGCCAACCCTCCGATGCATCCAGAAAGGCATGCAGTCTACGGATCCCTACCCTCTCGA